CCTAAAGTGGCACTGCCATATCTCCAGTCCAGGAGAACTGGAATTACACTGTCACATTTTTAATCACAAATGTGGATTGGGGATTTATAATGAAGATAAATTGACGGGATGTGTAAAAGACAAGATTTTACACTGATTGGAAGGCGCAAGAACAGATATCTGTAGAAGCCGAAACACACTTATAACAAATACTATTTTATAAGTTACAAAGAGTTCTCAGAACTTAGCTGAGGTGGAGTTTTGTAACTCTTGCCCAGCTACAGTTCATTAAACTCTGTTTCTGTGGATCCATGGCTGGAGAGACACTGCTCACTATTAGAAATTCTACACCCAGTAATAAGACATCAGTAACACTACCCACTGATGACCACAATCAAAAGAGCTCAAATCAGGGGAACAATTAAAGACACAAAGAACCAGCTACAGGCAAACATTGGAGTTTTTTTTAATGTAACGTTGAGGGAGTAGCTGAGAGTACGTAACACTACACATTTACCAAGACTAAAATAAGGGTTAGCTGTTCCTGCCACATCCTGTGACCGACAATCAGTACTATGCATCACCATATGCACACTCCCAAATCCCCTCTCCATCAGCACCACCTCACGCTGTCTCAGAATGTCCTATTGTCCAGTTCCACTTCATTCCCCAGCTTGTTTGACATTCTAACAAGAAATTTTTCTCTTCCTTTCAGACATTAAGGAATGCAAGCTGGAACAACTCAGAGGTACCCACACCCCTCTGGAACCTCCCTCCTTCCCTCCAATTCCAACTTTTCTCCTGACCCCACCACTTGTCAGGTATTCTGAGGGATCTCAGAACACAGGAAGGGTCACCGGACCCGAAACGTTAACTCTGTTTTTTTCTTTCACAGATGCTGCCAGACCTGCTGAGCTTTTCCAGCAACTTTGTTTTTTTTCCTGATTTACAGCATCCGCAGTTCTTTCGGTTTTTATTTATTATCCCTTCTGACTTTCTACTCTCTGATGCTGAACCTTCTGTACTCAGCAAAGGTCTTAGTTTTATCACTTCATGCCCCCACCTCAATGAATCTTGGGGTAGATCTGACATTGAACTTCTGTCGCCTTCACTTGTGTACATTTCTTTGAAGAGGAGTCCTCTCCTCAGTTCACAGATCCCTTCACCCACTTCTAACACTCACCCTCCATCTAGACCCCTCCCTCCAACCTTTTACCTGCACTTGATTTGTTCATTAAGAACTGACGACACAACATCAGCCACCTTACCCATTTGAATTAATCTCCCTCTGAACTGACTGCACTCCGTGCTCTCAAATACAATCCTGACTTTGTCATTAAGCCTGCTGATAAAGGTTGTGCTGTTGTTGTCTGGGGTACTGACCTCTACATTGCAGAGGCTGAGCACCTACTTCCCCTGGACCATGACCCCACCATCGAGCATTAGGCCATTGTGTCCACGACTGTCACCAACCTCATCTCATCTGGGGAAAAGAAACACAGACTGCATGACTGCTTTGTGGAACACCTGCGTTCTGTCCACAAAAATCACTCCAAGCTTCCAGGTGCCTGCCACTTCAACACAACACATTTTCGTCACAGTCCTGCTGCAGTGTTCCAGTGAGCCTCAGATTCTGCTGGAAGAAAAACAACTCATTTTCTGCTTGGGGACCCTGCAGCCTCTAGGACTCAACATTGAGTTCAATAACTTTACAGCCTTCCACACCTTCCATAAAGACAGTCACCCGAGGATGAAATCAAACCTGGGTCTCTTGCACTGTGAGGTAGCAGTGCTAACCAGGGAGCCACTGTACTGTCTACTTGTTTACACACCCCTTTCATCTCTCTCTCTGGACTGTCTCCACCTACCTGCTCTTCACTCCCCTTCCACCCCACCCTCAACTTTGCCTTCAACATAAATACCACTCATTCTTAGTTGCTAATAGTTCTGATGAAGAGTGACCAAACTCAAAATGTTAACTCTGCCTTCTTCCCACAGATGCTGAGTTTCGCCAGCAATTTCTGATTTTGCTTCAGAGCTCCAGTATTCACCATCCTTTATTTTATAAGAGAAAAACCTGCAGTCCACCAAATGTAGTCAGAACACAGACAGGAAAAGTTTTCCAAGTATTCAAACTACTTAACTCCACAAGAAAATGTCTGAAGTTTAAATTCCCCTTCTCTACTAATTCCTGTAGATTTCCAATCTTAGACTTCTGATTTAACAGCTCTTTCTAATCACAATCATGAAAGCAAAAAAGAAGAAGAAAATCAGCTCCATGTTGTGTGGCCTGGGATCACTCGGCTACAGTTTACAGAACGCATACTCTACATAGTCAGCTAGAGTACAGTTAGCTAACAGTGTGGGTTCAATTCCTGAGGTTACCATGAAGGACTCTCCTTCTCAATCTCTCCCCTTGCCTGAGGCGTAGTGACTCGAAGATTAAACTACCACAAGTAATCTCTTTCCATGGTCCATTAGGACTATGGCAACTTTACCTTTATACTTAGACTTACTAAAATAAGCTAAATTTTATAAAGCATCTTAGCAGATAAAACATTCTTAGCCTTTTCACAGGACCAATGCTTGACACCGAGTCACATGAGGAGATATAGGACAGGTGACCAAAATCATGAACAAGTAGGTAAGTTGGAGCCATGCATTATTGTGGCAGATACAACAGAGGTGAAGAGATTGAATTCCAGAACTAATTTTAAAAATATATAACATGGGTTCCACACACCCAGTACATACCGGGTGTTCCAAGGATGTGAGACTGATAAAACGGAGGAAAAGTTCACCACCTGAAGACACTGCCACTGAAGAATCTACACTGGTCAGGGTTTTTATTGCTGCCTTCAGATTCTCTCTCAGCCCCTGAATGGTTTCACCTAATTCCAGAAAAACAAAATTGACAGCTTGCAGCTCATTGAGTGGAAAACAATGCTATCAGTTTAGACATCAACATGTGTTTCTACCAGATTTCCAAGGGATTGTGTGAACCTCATTACAGCAAAGTAACAGTTACATGGCTGGACACATAACCCAGAGCACAAAAGGAAAATACCCTTCCTAGAATTTTCAGTTCTTCTATGTAACCCACAGAAATATAAATTGGAACATCAATTCAGTTAAAAATCTGATAATACTCCTACAAGTCTTTTTCTGCACTTAACTCTGTGTGATTTGAGATCCATTATATAAATTTACCATTGTAAGATTGCACAGCTTCAACAGAATCTGTACATATGAAAGCTGTTTAAACAGCATTGTCATAATTCTTATCTCAGTTACCTTTGTCTCTCTTCAAAAACTCCAACAAGGTGCGAATGGCTGCAACAGCTGAAGCAACATCCTCATTCTGTTTCATCTGGGTTTTGAAATAGTCCACAAGCTCTGTAACAGGCCAAGTAGCACTTTTTAAATACAATTAATTTACCCACACTTTTATGTTACCTATGCACACTATTATTTTATCTACTAGAACACATTTTCAATCAACAACTTGCATTTACTTTAGTACAATAAAATGTATATTATGTCCCAAACATAAGAATGTAGGGGAGAAAAAATCAGGAGTAGGCCATTCAACCCTTTGAAAACCAAAAGAACTGCGGATGCTGTAAATCAGGAACAAAAACAAAGTTGCTGGAAAAACTCAGCAGGTCTGGCAGTATCTGTGAAGGAGAAAACAGAGTTAACTTTTCGGGTCTGGTGACCCTTCCTCAGAGCTCAGTTTTCTCATTCACAGATGCTGCCAGACCTGCTGAGTTTTTCTAGCAACTTTGTTTTTGTTCCATTCAACCCTTTGAGCCTGTTTCACCGCTCACTGAGATCATGGCTGATCTGTGGCCTAACTCCATACACCTGCCTTTGGCCGATATCCCTTAATACTTTGCTTAACCAAAGTATATCTGCCTCAGATTTAAAATTAACAACTGATCTAGCATCAACTGCCATTTGTCAAAGAGGTTGAATTTGGTAGGATTATAGTCACTGGAGTTCAGAAAAATGAGAAGAGATTTTATAGAAACCTACAAAATTCTAACATAACTAGACAGGGTAGATACAGGAAAAATATTAATAACTGACTTGGGGGGGCAGGGGGTGGTGTGAAGTGAAGAATCCAAAACCAGGAGTCACCATCTAAGGTTACAGAGTAGACCATTTAAGAATGAGATGGGGACTTTTTTTTCACCCAGAGAGTGATAAACCTCTGGAATTCCCTACCACAGAAAGCAGACAATGTCAAAATTGTACGATTTCTAGGAGGAGTTGGATATAGCACTTGTGGCTAAAAGGATGAAAGGGTATTGGTGAAAGCAGAAACAAGGTATTTTGGATTATCAGTCACGATTAAAATAAATCAGGCAGCAGTCTTGAAGGTCCAAATGACCTATTCCTGCTCCTATTTTTTATGTTTCCAGAAATTTACCAAAGATCCTTCCAAACCCAGAAGGAAAAGGGCAGCAGATACATAAGAACACCAGCCCATGCAAGTTCCCTTCCAAGCCATTCACCATCCTGACTTAGAAATATATCGCCGTTCCTTCACTGTCACTGGGTCAAAGTCCTGCAATTCCCTCCCTAAGGGCTTTGTGTAAAGTCAGAAGTCACACGACACCAGGTTACAGTGACTTGTGACATTGCCCACCGCAGTTCAACAGCAACAGCTCCACATTCAGGGCTTTGTGGGTCAACCCTACAGCACATGGCAGCTCACCACCACCACCACCACCACCACCACCACCACCTTCTCAAGGGGGCAATTAGGGACGGGCAATAAATGCTGGGCCCAGCCAGTGTCAGTCCATGCTGAGGGCCGAGCTCTATCTCAATGTCCGGCCCGTGTGTTCCCGGTGATTTCCCAGACAGTGTACGGCCACAATACCCGGGTTTTAGGGGGCAATCCTGACATTTACCTTCCTCGTCCATCCTGACAACAGCGCGCTCCCGACAAACCGTCAACAGGCCCAGGGTCCCGGGGGCGCCACGCTATCTCCTTTCCCCCGGCACACCCGGCCAGCTGCAATAGGACCGGACCCACCCGGACACGTTTCACTGATGCGCCGGAACGGACCGAGAGCGGAGACATGGCGGACGGTGAGGGAGAGGGTCAGCGGGGTGGGAGTGGGATGGAGGGATGGAGGGATGGAGGGATGGAAGGGAGTGGAGGAGGAGAGACAAAAGTGATTGAGGCTGACAGAATGCACCTTCTCCTATTCTGATAATCACAAGTTAGAATGACCATGGAGTTACTGACCATTCCCGGTGATCAGTCTTTATCACCAAGTCTGCAACAGACATGGATTTTGTGATGAAAAAAACACCCAATGGACTTTTAACTATCTTTACCAAGTCCAAACTCTAAATGGAAATAATATTTACATTTCTTGCAATCCGTAAAAGAGTCATGCAGCACATATACAGACCCTTCGGTCCAACTTATCCACACAGACCAGACATCTCCATCTGACCTAGTCCCATTTGCCAGCATTTGGCCCATATCCTTCAGAACCGTCCCTATTCATAGACCCATCCATGTGCCTTTTCAACGTTGTTATTGTAAGGTGCCACCACTTCCTCTGGCAGCTTGGTCAATATTTGCACCACCCTCTGAAGGAAAAAGCTACCCCTCAGGTCCCTTTTAAATCTTTTCCCCCTCACCTTAAACCTATTGCCTATAGCTTTGAATTCCACTACCCTGAGGAAAAGACGTCGGCTATTCATTCTACCCATTCCCCTCATGATGTTAAAACTTCTATAATGGCCTGAATCTGTAAGAATAGCTTTTATTTCATAGCTTCCCCCTTCTTACTCAGGATGTATTCAAATGGTGGAGCAAGCTAAAGGGGCCAAATGGCCTATTTCTGCTTCATAGTTCCCATCATGCATTGGTGTTTTCTTCCAATGCAGTTGGTATTTACTGATTGCATTGAAGCTTGTAGACTTTATTTTATTGAAAGACTTCCAGTAATCCAGAAAAGCAACAGACACATGCTAATGAATCAGAGATGGTAGGAACTGCAGATGCTGGAGAATCCGAGACAACAAGGTGCAGAGCTGGATGAACACAGCAGGCCAAGCAGCATCATAGGAGCAGTAAGGCTGATGTTTCGGGCCTAGACCCTTCATCAGAAAATGATTTTCTGATGAAG